TTAGGACCCTTCCAATCCTAATTTTCCTATGATTTCTATTATTTCTAGAGCGAAGCTGATGGTGTGAGGTCCAGGGCTCATTGGCTGGTTCACTTCGGATTCTGGGGCAGGTCCTGACTTCTGGTAGTCCCTGAGGGAGAAAAGAAATGTGAATGTGCTTCAACTTGCTGCAGGCTGCTGAATGCGACAATTATAGTTTCTACCACCTGGCATTCAGGAATCATGGCCTGAGATGTGGCCTCATCAATGGTGAATAGAGGGGGATAATCACTTTCCACAATCTGCAGGGTGGGACAGGTGAACTGAGCAGTGATGGACAAGGACATGTAGAAGACAGAAGAGGGAGAAATGTCCTCCCCAGGGATCTCAGAAAGGCTTAGGATTGTAACCAATCAAACCATTACTTAGGTAGCTCTCTATTAAGTCAACACTTACTGCACTTGTGCCAGGGGTTGTTTATTGAGTGGGTTGTCGAAGAGGTAAAAGATGCTTCCAGGTATTGTTTCATGGCAACTCATCTTTTGGCTGAGACATGGCACAAATGTTTTAATATAGGGATTAATGCTTTTTCATGCAGGTTAAGGTGAGAAGAGGGCAGATGGAGGATTTTTGAAAAGGGGGTGCAGATGGTGTGATACATCATCACATATAACACAACATCCATTGTTACCCAGTTAAAGAAAAACTAGAATCTTTACAAATATGGTAGGGGGCTAGCACCATATAATTCAGTTTAAGATCAAAGGAAAAAATAACTGTTGAAATGGGCACTTATTTGCTAGAGTATCTGTAAAGTTTTAACAAAGACAGTAAGCTAGGAAAAAATAGTCACAGGATAGTATATCATTAGTGCTGTTGTTATTATAGGGCTTATGTAGCCATGGGTCTACAAGTCCTTGATGGTGGAGCAGACAAAATTTTAAAATCTCAATGGCTGCAAATGCAGACAAAGGCAACAGTGGATTGAGATCTCCAATTGTCTTGGTCTGCTTGCCATTGAAATGAACAAGTGTGCTGCAGAATTTTGCTATGGCAATGAGCTACAACAGGTATGAGGATGAGGAATGTCTTAACAGGTGTGCTGCAGAAAAGTTTTATAAATATAAGTGTGCCTTGGGCTGGAAAAGGTTGGGAAACACTGTTCCATGAGACTGGTTTTAGCACACTTCTTCAAGCCCTTCGGCAACCAGCTGGTGATAACGGGAGCAGGATTGCGAGGCCTGGAAGCTCATTGTCGTGAACAGGCAAGGCAGCAGTTACAAGAAGTTCATCTTGCACTTGGATCTGCAGTAGTGCAATTCAGCAGCTGTAACTGCAATTGAGCAGCCCTTTTTAGGGGATTGCACCGATATAAAGAAAATTGCCTGGATCAAAATTGGCACGATATGGCCAACAATTTGGCTGATAAGTGACCTGTGCATGCACAGCCGCAGAGCAGCATGTAGGCAGTGAGGAGCAGAGCCCAGCAGCTTGAAGAGCAGTCTCCAGCTGGTAAGTCTGTTGTGATGGAAGGGGTGTGGAGGGCAGATTAAGTCTCCCCGCAATGAGGGAGGGCTGAGGCTGGGATGGGCTGGGGCAAGTACTGCCCTGCCGGGGTGGGGCAGGTGTGGGATGTAGCTGCGGCTTGTCCCGGGGGCACGGGGAGGGGGGATGGCTCCCCCTGATGCTCCTGCCACTTGTCCAAGAAGGCCCCACAAAGCCCCCACTCCCAGTGCCACCACTGCCCACCCAGAGCACAGACTGGCGCAGCCCCAGCCTTGCCCACACTGCCGTATGCAGATCTGGGGGCACATGCCACCCCCATGCACTCCCAGATGAGTGGCAGGAGCCGCCGGATGAGCAGCCCCTGGACAAGTGGCACACAGCATCTGGGGTGCTCCACCTGGACGAGCCATGGCTCTGTCCCCTGCCCGCCCTGCCCCAGTTGGGCAGTGCTTACCCCAGCCCTTGTCTCAGCCCCAGCCCCACTCCCTCCCTCAGCACATGGGGCCTTGATCTACCTCCTACACCCCTTCCCTTCCCCTTCCACTACAACAGATTTACCAGCTGGACACAGCTGCATCAGAAATTGGATCGGTATTGGCCAATATTCTTCCTTAAAAATCGGCTATTGGTATTGGCCCCAGAAATCTCTCGCTGCACCCCTAGTAACCTGTCCGAAAGCACATTTAGAATTCCCCTTTGATAACTTTTCTCTTGGGGTCTACTCCCTTTCTTGATTAACTATTGCCTATCAATTAGCTCATCTTTTCTTATGACTAACTTGTCCCTCTGGTGGGAGGGGCATTTACTGTAAGGGGTGTTTTGTTTCCGTTTTATATACTTTCTCTCCTAGTGGCTGCTAAACTTTGAAAATGATCCTCTATGATCAGTTTCCTGATGGACTTTATGAAGAAATCCTCCTCTCTCTTTCCCTGGGTCTGAGACCTCCCACACTGCCCTTATTGTGCATAGATCCTTTGTCTTTGGTTCCACAGGTTCCCTGATGGGAAACTTGTTTGATGACTCTGGTCACTCCACCGAAGGCTACTGTCCACTTATAAAATGACTGGTTTGCATCAGCAGGGTTCAAATAATGCCTGTTTCCGGTTGCAACCAGGTGATGATGTCAGAAAAAGTAAAGAGCCCCAACAGAGACTGGAGCCTGCGTGGTGGCAGTGATAACCCCAGGCTTGCTAGTGTGCTCCAGGAAGGGGGTTGGCCAGATTTAGGCGCCCCAGGGGAGACACTTGAAGAGTGGTTTTGGGCATGGGACAAGGAGGAGAGTTATTTATTGTATTAGCACTCCCTACTGTCCCGCCACAGGCTTTAGTTCTGGTATTGCTCAAGATCCATCCCCAGCAGTCAGGACTTTTTAATAACAAAAGGTGGACCATTGATTAAGCAAGACCCAGACAACCAACACCGTCTTCTAAGAAGTAAAGGGTATAAAAATCTTTGTGCCCAGACTTTAAATTTAATTTATGAAGTGTTTAACAAGGAATTACTTGAAGATGCTAGAGTTAAGAGGTATAAAACAGGGAGTAGGATGGCTAACAAGGTGCACTTTATGAGGAAAGAAATCACTCAAGAACATGATAGCTGCAACTAAGTTCCCAGCTCTTCTCAGGCTACAGATTCATGCCTTGGAGGAATCTGTAAGGACAGACCATCTCTGCCTATGAGGCGAGATACAATTGCTTCCAAAGACAGATGATACCGGACTTTCGGATGAGTGGGGCTCATTCTATATTGTAATAAATACAGGCAACCCCCACTTAGTGCTCTTAATTGGTTCTGGAAAAGCTAAGCGCTAAGTGAAACAGCGTTAAGTGAAACCGATTTTCACCATAGGAATGAATGCAAAGAAATACAATTTATTCCCTGATATGGATGCTCACTGAAATTCAGCACCATTCTTTGCCTGCTCCATGATGGTATATGCGTGGTTTTTCTCAGTAATGGATCTATCACCAATCCCTTTGAGGTGAAGACAGAAGTTAAGTACGGCTGCTCCAACATCATTGCTCCAACATTTTTCTGGATGTTCCTTACTGCAGTGCTACATCTGACAACCAACAATCTTCCAGTCAGAGTGGAGGTAAACTACCAAATGGATAGTAAACTGCTTAATCTCAGCCAACTGCAAGCCACAACCACCCCGACCTCAACCACTGAGCTCCAGTACACTGATGATGCCGGAGCATGTGCTCACAAAGAAGCAGACCTTTGGGCAATCCTCAACACCTTTTTCAAAGCATACAGGAAAATGGGACTCACACTTAACATGCAAAAGACTAAGGTCCTCCATCAGCACGCTCTTAATGAGCAGTCCCCAGCTCTGTTAATCCTGATTTATGGTGAGACTCTGGAGAACGTTGTGTATTTCCCATACCTCGAAAGCCGCCTCTCACAGAAGCTGACCTCAGTGAAGAAGTCCAACATCACCTCAAGTGTGCAAATGCAGCCTTTGACTGCCTGAGCAAATGCTTGGTCAAAGATTGTGACATCAGATCCAACACCAAGCTTATGGTTTATCAAGCAGTCTTGATCCCCACCTTCCTGTATGGAGCTGAGATGTGGACAATATACAGGAGACACCTCAAAGTCCCTGGAGAAATACGATTGACGCTGCCTACACAAGAGCCTTTTAATCGAGTGGGAGGACAAACACATGGACATCAGCATCCTCTCACAAGCAAACACCACAAGGTGATGATCATCCAACACCAACTTTGTTGGGCTGCCCACATCATCCCGGTGTCTGACTCCAGGCTCCTGAAGAAAGTTTTATTCTCCCAGCTCAGTCGAGGTGTATGCTCAAGAGGAGGGCAAAGAAAATGCTTCAAGGACATCCTTAAGGCCAGCTGGAAGAAATGCAACATTGACATCAGCTTGTAGGAGGCTATTGCCCAGGACCACCCCAAACGGAGGAAGAGTTTGCTTCAAGGATCTCAGTACTTCGAAACCTCACAGCAACAGGGGATGGAAAAGCAGAGGCCAAAACAGTGTTGTGGGACTGAATCAGGAAGGCAGAGCCGTCCACGCCACACGGAAGCATGTGCCCAAGTTGCAAAAGCACCTGTGGATGCCGCAGTGGCCTTTGTCAGTCATCTTCGGCCTCACGGATAAGTCTGTCATGGAGGACAATCCTCCTCCACGGGGAGGGATTGCTGTTGCTGCTGCGTCCTTATCGTTGAAGGTACATCCCTGATTCAGATGAATAAAACTAGCATACTTGGTGCCCTGCCAATGCCTCCAATACTTCCCTTAGTCGTTCCTAGCCGGGCATTAGGGTTTATAGCTAGAGCCCAAGCCAGTCTGCAGGGTTGCGAAATAGAGGAGAGGCATTTCCAGGAACAGGCGGAAGAAAGGATCCTTTGGGTAGTGAAGCATGAGGGTGACTAGGGAGGAGAGAGGGCTGTGGACGCCTGCGGGGTAGGGAGAGGAGAGCCCGAGTGGAGCTGCTCCTGTCTCCCGGGACAGTGTTCAAGTCCGGGTCCAAGCGGGGGTAGAGCGGGGACCGCTGCCCCCCGGATCTGCCCGAGGCCGGGCCCCAGCGAGCTGCGCCCCTCCCCTCCCCTCCCCCCCTGTGTTTTCAAGCGTTGCGGAAAGTCCCAAGTTCACAACTTAACTTTCGCTTTCGCTTGTTTGCGTGTCGCAGCGCGACGCGGCCCCTGCCCCTGCCCCTGCCCCTGGACCGGGGTTAGGGTCCTGCCCGGGCAGCGGGGCCGTGCGGAGCAGCCGGGCAGCGCGGGGGCTGCATGGGGGCGTGTGGCGGCGAGCGGGGCGGGGACCATGAAGCTGGTAAGAAAAGGGCCGCGCGGGCCGGGGGGGG